TTCATCACCAAGGTTTGATGCTCAAAGATGCAACAAAGAAGCCCCTAGATGGTCATTGTATTGTCACTGGAGAAGGTCAAAACTTCAGTTTTGTCCCCAGTTTTAACAAAATCAATGTAATTTTACACTTTCCCTGTTCTGAAGGTTGGAACATAGTAATACACTTGGATGGATATACTATTTCAGTTAGCATCTCCGAAACGTTTTCTGAAAAAAATAGGTAGAATTTGTGTGAGTACAAAAATGCAAATTTGGGGGAGGCAGTGTAAATGTTATTTTCCCCATTTATTTTTTTTAATTGGACTGGTTTAGGAAATGGGAGGAAAGGGGCTTGAGGCAATGCAGGCAAAATGCACACAAACTGGAAATAGATTGTGTGTCCTCTTATTCATTGATTTACTTATGTCAGTTAATTCTTGAGTGGACATTTTCACCTGAAAAAGCAATATTTTAAAGTGTGAAAATGAGTTTTAAAAGGTTTTACAGTTACATCCCATCCTTTCCTTCAACTATCCCTCCACCTCTACTTCATCCTCTCAACAGTCCTGTAAAGTTGGCTGTGAGAGAGTCATTAGCATGAACAACAACAACAAAAACAATGCATCACATAGTCCTAGACACTTGGGAAGTGTCTGACATGTGATCCAATACAAAAGCCAGCATAGTGATCTTGTCTGCTGTGTACTAATCTTGTTGTGTATCAAATAATAATAATCATTGTTGCTCGCCTTTCCTCATGGCTTGCACCCAGTTCCATGGGTCTACCCTAATTAAACCTACAGGATCTGGAGTCCAATATGTTTTAAAAGAAATTACAATGCAATTCTATACTTCTAAGTCCAATTACGTTCAATGAGGCTTRCTCAAGGAGAGCAGAGRCCAAATATTGCCACCTTACTCTCTGTTTTGAAAATTGTATGCGAAATAGTTTTCTGGTTACAAAATAGTATTTAGAAGACTAAACTGAGGTATACATTGATGCTTAGCTTTTTTCTCTCTCCAATGTATTGTGACATTATTATTATTATTATTATTATTATTATTATTATTATTATTATTATGATGACACAAAAACGCAGTGTGTCACTTCAAATGAGATCTATATGCTGGATTTCGTATCACAAAATCACAAGTCGAACACTTCCCAAGCATCTAGGACTGTGTGATATATTTTTGAATGATGCGTGCAGATCCAAGTAAGGTTGGATTATTATRATCATCATCATCATCATTATRATRATRATRATRATTATTATTATTATTATTATTATTATTATTAGCTGCAGCTTTGGGATCTCCCTGCATGGAGCTGCCAGATGTGGCTATAACACAGGCCAGGTGGAGAGCCTCTAATTAGAACGGAAGGGTTATTTACTTGCTCCTGCTAGGCCTTTCCATCTTGAAAGGTCTCCAGCAATGAGTTCCCCATAACATTTTCCAGGACACCATTCGGCCCCTTTGCCAAAACTCGAGAGGATTCCTACCTTTCTAAATCATTTCCCATCCTTGGGGTTTCCCCTCCCACGTTCCCCCAAGAAGCCGGCCTCTTTCTCAGATTGGCTTTGTTTGACTTTTTTTTAAGAATGAGGAATAATAGCAGATGGTAAGACAGATTGCAGAAGGCATTTGGAACAGGAAGGATGGAGGTGAAGCCGAGATGGGTAACTCAAGCCCATAAACTCACTCACGTTCACAAATCATAATGTTAGGGCAAGGCGGCAAACAGAATTCACCAAATATGGTCCAGGAATCACCCAGGAGGAGAGAATTAGGGGCATTGTTTTGAACTTTGATTTCTAGGAGGACCAATATGGTCCCTAGAAAAAGGTGATGGGATTTGCAATTGATTGTTCTTCATAAACCATGAGGGGTAACTTGGTCCAATCTTCTACTCGGTATAGGATTTGGAACTCAGGGCACAAATCCATCATCCCCAACAGTTGAGAAATAGATGACTCTCCACATGCTGCTGGACTGCAACTCCCATCAACCCTACCTAACATTGAAGGCCAATAGCATCTGATGCACCTCTCATTTGCTTCAATTACCATTGGCAGTATAGACCAACAACATCTGGAACTCTATCATTTGCCCATCCTTAGTTTAATTACAATTGGTGGTATAAACCAACAACATCTGGAATGCCATAATTTGCCGATCCTTGGTTCAATTACCATTGGCGATGTAGACCAATAACTTCTGGAATGCCATAATTTGCCCATCCTTGGTTCAATTACCATTGGCAGTGTAGACCAACAACATCTGGAATGCCATCATTTGCCCATTCTTGGTTCAATTACCATTGGCGATATAGACCAACAACATCTGGAGTGTCACCACTTGCCCATCCTTGGTTCAAATGCCTCCAGTGAAGGAACGTCTTACAACACAGTAAAGTCATTTGCTCCACTAGCAAATAGTTACGACTTTTAGGAAGCATCACTCCAGGTTTAGCCCAAAGCAGCTTCTAATCTTTCCTACTGGTGCAACAGAGAGCAGGTTTGCTACAACATCTGCATGACAGGCCTTCCGATATCTGAGGACCTTTATCTTGTATCCCCTTAATCTTCTCTTCTCTGCGGCTAAACATAGCTCTTTCGACTGTTCCTTGTAGAACTTGGCTTTCAGGCATTTCATCATGCCCAGCCGCCCTTCACTGAATACATTCCAGTTTATAAAAGGTCATCTTCAAGTGAAGTACCCAGACCTGGATGCAGTGCCACAGACCATAACAAGCAGCTTTCCATTCATGCCATATCAAAACAGAGTAGTCAGTACAAATCCAAATCTAATGCTACTTTAACTACCTTTATGTCCACTCATTTGAATTATTAGTATATGCTTACCCCTTTGCAAATATGTAATACATTCAGAGCTCAGAGAAATATATTTTTCTGAACTACAGTTTTCCGGCTTCCCCACCCAACATCACCAAAATACCATAGTCCAATAAATATTGCATTTTTGCATTTTTGTTATTGCATTTGCAAGTGCCCAGCTGTAACTTTTTCCAGGCTCTAGATGGGACCAATGAAACCCCAAATATTCAGGCATTCCTCATTAAATTATTATTATTATTATTATTATTATTATTATTATTATTATTATTTATCCATTCTATACCATGAGGATAATTGGAATCCTTGAAGAGGCGCCACAGCATTCTGTTAACCCTAGAAGATCTCAGCTTATTGGTGGGTGGAACTGGACTGTAGTGCAGCCATGAAAACAAATGACAAATTTACAGTGTGTATTTTGTGCATTTCAATGAGAAGAAAGTCCTCTATCTCTAACAGCTTATGGAACATTAAAGAGGGAACTGGAAATGAAATTCTTCATGGGAGTTTCACCCATATCTTTTTCCAGGTCCATCGTATAAATGACCTACAAGAACAAGGAGCTAGGAGTACACCCTTTTTTTGAAATTTCTGAAGGGCATAGAATGCTTGTTTTGAATGCTAAAGAGGACAAAATAAGGGGAAGTTATAGGGGTGCTTTATTGGACAGAATGTTAGGGGACACTAGAATGGACCCAGGAGTCAGTGTATTACAGTGCTTTGAAGGTTGGACTAATTTAAGCTTTCTGTGAACCAAGTCGGCCTTAGGGTCACCATAAGTCCCTTACTGGAAGTCTCCATACAGAAGTGTATCATCCATTGAAAAGACCCTTGTTCTGAATTTCCTGTATCACAAGCAGTAAGCTGGTAGAGCTGGCCTACAAAGAACCTCCAGCTTTCTTCATGCTGAGTTGAAGATTTGATGGTGGCCCAGAAGGCTCTATAGCAGAGCTAGGAAACATGAAGGGAAGAAGGAAGGAAGGAAGGAAGGAAGGAAGGAAGGAAGGAAGGAAGGGAGGGAGGGAGGGAGGGGAGGGAGGGGGGAAGGAGGGAGGAGAGAGGGAGGGAAAAGGAGGGAGAAGAAATGGAGGAAGAAGGAAAAGGAGGAAAAAAAGGGAGAGAAAGAAGGAAGGGAATGGGAAGGGGAGGGGGAGGGAAGGAAGGGAAAGAGGGAAGAAGGGAGGAAGGGAAAGGGAAGGGATAGAAGGCAGGGAGGGAGAAAAGGAAGGGAGGGAAAGAGGAAAGGGGGAGGGGAGGAAAGAATGAAGGAAGGGAAAGAGGAAAGGAAGGGTAGAGGGGAGGGAGGGAGAGAAAGAGTGAAAGAGGAAAGGGAGGGAAGAGGGAAGGGAGGGAGGCAGGAAGGGAGGAAAGGAAAGGGGATAAAAAGAGGGAGAGTAGGAAGGGAGGGAAAGAGGAAAGGGAAGGTGGAAGGAAGGAAGGTAGCGAAGGAGTGAAAGAGAAAGGGGAGGGAGGAGGGTAGGAAGGAAAGGAAAGGGAGATAAACGGAGGGAGAGGAGGGAGGGAAGGAGGAAGGGGGGGAAAGAGGAAAGGGAGGGAGGGGAGAAGGGAATGAAGGAAGAAATGGAAGAGGAAAGGAAGGGAGGAGGGAAGGAAGGGGGAGAGAAAAGGAAAGAAAAAGGGAGGAAGGGGAGGAAGGAGGGAAGGAAAGGAAGGGGGAAAAGGAGGGAAAGAAGAAAGAAAGGAAGAGGAAAAGAGGAGTGGGGAAGGAAAAAAGAGGGAGAGAAGGAGGGGAAAGAGGGAAGAAGGAAGAAAGGGAAGGGAAAGGGGAGGAAAAGAAGGGAGAGAAGGAAAGGAAAAGGAAAGGGGTGGGAAGGAGGGAGGGAAGAAAAGAGGAAAAGGAGAGAAGGAAGGAAAGAGGGAAGAAGAAGAAAGAGGGAAGGAAGGGGAAGGAAAAGAAGGGAAGAGAAAGGAGGGAGGGAGAGAGGAAGGAAAGGGAAGAAGAAGAAAGGGAGGGAAAAGGGGAGGGAAAAGAAGGGAAAGAAGGAAAGGAAAGAAAGGGAGGGAGAGAAGAAGAAGGAGGGAAGGGAAGGGAGGGAGGGGAGGAAAGGGGGGAGGGCGGAAGGAAGGAAGAAAGGAAGGAAGGGAGGGAGGGGGGAGGGGAGGGAGAGATTCGAAGGCGGAAGGCAAGCAAGCCCGGGCGGCTGCGACTCAGTCTCTGTCCGCCCCTGTGCTTGTCCTGTGGGCAACTCCCCCCGTGCCTCCGCCCGCACATTCCGAGGGGGGAGCTCCATCCCGTCGGAGGGAGACGCGGTTCTTCCTTCCAAGCTGGGGGGCCCGGAAGACGCCCTTGGCAGGTAAAGCCTACCCTTTCTCTCTCGCTTGGCGGGGGGGGGGGAGTCTGTGATGCTGGGGAGGGTAGTGACGTGGCTCCCAGGGCTTCCTGTGGGGAGGGACTCTTGCTTTCTTTCCAGCCTTTTTTTTTTTTGGACTCTAACCCCCAGCATCCCTCACCCCCAACTATTCACCAAGGCAGCCAAAATAGTGTCTGCACTCTGCACCATGCCTGGCTTGAAGTTCCAGCAAAGCGACTCTATTGGCGTGACTACCAACCAGAATCCTCCTTTACCTGAAAACCTAACATCAATAGCCAATCATCTCCTATGAATGAAAAACTGACAATTATTATTAGTTTTATTATTATTATTATTATTACCCCGCTTTTATCTCAGGAACCAAGACCCAAATGTAGATATCTTTTTGCATCTTCGAGACTATTAGCATCCGTTTTTTCCAAGACTTAAATCGATATTAGGATTATTTTATTAGTATCATTAATAATTAATAATTAATTAATTAATCTGAGAAAATAGTACTGCTAATAATAATAATAATAATAATAATAATAATAATAATAATAGCAGTAGTATTGTTTTCTCAGTGGCATAAACCCTTTGAATACCCCTACTCCCCGCTTCTTTTCCCCAGCCTCGGAGATGCAAAGAGATCCTTTTCCAAATGGATGTCCCAGGCTAACAGCTTTGAATCCGGATTCATCTCCGTCTATGGTGTCTTTGAATTCTCCGCCATACAATACATCACGTGTTTCCATGGAGGATGTAGGCCAATACGTTTATAACTTATTTGCCTATCAAGGCGTTTAGAAATGCCCAGTGTCGACCCAGGGAAAGCTATGAGAACCATTCCAACTGAAAACGAGGAGGGATGAGAAAACATAGGAAGCAACTTGACCATCAAAACACATTACAATCCTTTATAAATCCCACAATGAGACCTCCACAAAGCTATGTTTGCCTTGGTGCCAAAAATGAAGGCGGTTCTAGTCGGTTCAGATAGAAGCAAAAGAAGGAGAAAGAGAAGGAGATGAAGATGAAGAATAAGAGATGGAGATGAAAATGAAAGATGTGGAAGGAGAGATGGAGGTGGAAAGAAAGAGAAGGAAAAATAAATGAAAAAGGAGAAGCAGAGATGAAAAGAAGGATATAGAGAGGTGGAGATGGAGAAGGAGATGAAGATAGAGAGGTGGAGGTAGAAAGGGGATAGAGATGGAGATGGTGGAAGTGGAAAGAAGGAGATGGAGATAGAGAAGGTTATAGAGAGGTAGAGATGAAAAGAAGGAGATGGAGAGGTGGAGATGGAGAAGGAGATGAAGATAGAGAGGTGGAGGTAGAAAGAAGGAGATGGAGATGGTGGAAGTGGAAAGAAGGAGATGGAGATGGAGATGGAGAAGGTTATAAAGAGGTAGAGATGAAAAGAAGGATATAGAGAAGTGGAGATGGAGAAGGAGATGACGATAGAGAGGTGAAGGTAGAAAGAAGGAGATGGAGATGGTGGAAGAAGGAGATGGAGAAGGTTATAAAGAGGTAGAGATGAAAAGAAGGAGATGGAGAGGTGGAGGTGGGAAGAAGGAAATGAAGAGGGAGATGGAGAAGTGGAGGTGGAAAGAAGGAGAAGGAAAAGGAGATGAAAAAGGAGAAGTACAGGTGGAGATGGTAAGAAGGATATGAGGAGATGAAATGAAAGATATGGAGAAGGAAAGGTGGTGGTAGAAAGACGGAGAAGAAAGGAGAGATGAATAAGGGGAAGTGGAGATGGAGAGAAGGATATAGAGAGGTGGAGATGAAAAGGAGATGGAGAAGTAGATGGAGATGTGGAGGTGGAAAGAAGGAGAAGGAAAAGGAGATGGAGAAGTGGAGGTGGAAAGAAGGACATAGAAGGTGGGAATGATAAGAAGGAGATAGAAATGGAGAGATGGAGGTGGAAAGAAGGAGATGGAAAAGGAGAAGTAGAGATGGAGATGGAAAGAAGGATATGGAGAGATGAAAAGTAAGATGGGGAAGGAGATGTGGTGGTAGAAAGACGGATAAGAAAAGGGAAACGAAAAAGGAGAAATAGAGATGGAAAGAAGGAGATGGAAAAGGTGAAGTAGAGATGGAAAGAGGGATATAGAGAGGTGGATATGAAAAGAAGGAGAAGGAGATACAGAGGTGGAAAGACGGGATGGAAAAGGAGATAGACAAAAAAAAAGTGGACATGGAAAGAAGACTATAGAGAGGTGGAATTGAAAAGAAGGAGATGGAGGAGGAAGAGGTTCTACATAGAAACTTGTATTCATTTCAGAACAAAAATGACATAACTGGTGCCACTGTTCGCTAATGCAATTACTGGGGTTTTGTTTTCTAGTTGTCCATGGGTGATCATATCTACCATCTAAACTGGCATCAGGGGTCAGGCCAGGTATGCAGAATACCAAGAATGAGCAACTGGAATCTTAAGAAATCTGGTTGAACTCCAATCTCAGGTATACTTGGAACACTTCTTCAGCTCATGATGCTCAACCTTCTCCTTAAGAAGGTCCTCCAAAGGTTTTTGAGCAAGCTTTTCTGTTCTGATTGTTTTGATCAGTGGGATGGAAGATCTAGCAATAGGTTCTGGATAGAACCAAATAAATGGAGATGGGGAAAGAGGAAGGATGTGGAGAGAGGAGGAAGAAGATGGGGATGATAGAGAAGGAAAAGGAGAAAGGAGAAGTAGGTGGAGATGGAGAAAGAGGAAGAAAAAGAGGTGGAGATGGAGAAAGGAAAAGGGATAAAGGAGGTGGGTGGCAATGGAGGTTGAGAAAGAGGAAGGAGATGGAGAAAGGAGAAGGGAGGGAGAAGGAGAAGAAGATGAAGGAGATGACACACACTCCTATATCCCAGAATATCGAGGCAGTAAATCCCACAATATCTACTTTGAATTGGATTATCTGAGTCCATACTCAGATAGTGTGGGGTTTCCTGCCTTGATTTTCTGGAATATATGGCTGTGTGGAAGCCCCCCCCCCCTCCCCCAGATGAAGAAAGGAGAAGGGGTTAGATGGAGATGGAGAAAAGGAAGGAGGTGGAGATGGAAAAAGAGGAAGGAGAGGGAGATGATGGAGATGAAGAAAAGGAGGAGAAGGGGTGGAAATGGAGATGGAGAAAGAGAAGGAGAAAGGGATAGAGATTAGGATTAAGATTAGGATGAAGGATCCAAGATTGAATTTCCAGTTTGAACAAAGCCCATCTAGTATCTCTGATGCTCTCTGTTGTCCTTTCTCGGATGTTCCTTCACAACAGCCTGAAGCTGTAACTCTCTGTACAACTGGGGGCCCTTCCACCCAGCCATACAACCCAGAATATCAAGGCAGATAATCCCACAATATGTGCTTTGAACTGGGTTATCTGAGTCCACACTGCCATATAATCCAGTTCAATGTGGATTTTATACAGCTGTGTAGAAGGGCCCTTAAGAGCCCTTCCAGACAGTCTCTATATCCCACTATCTGATCCCATGTTTTCTGCTTTAATCTGGATTATATGAGTCCCCACTGCCAGATAATCTGGGATAAACATAAAACCTAGGATCTGATCCTGGGATATAGGGCCTGTCTGGAAGGGTCCTCAGACCCCCTTCTACACAGCTGTATAAAATCCACATTGAACTGGATTATATGGCAGTGTGGACTCAGATAATCCAGTTTAAAGCACATATTGTGGATATTCTGGGTTGTATGGCTGTGTGCAAGGACCTTCTAGTAGAAGGTTGCTCTCTGTTGTCCTTCCTCTTATGTTCCTTCACAACAATCTGAAGCTGTGACTATTCAACTGGGGGTCCTCCTTCCAGTTCAAAGCAGATAATGTGGGATTTTATTCAGCTGGGTGGAGGAAGTCTGGGTGTATTGGCTGGTTCCATGGAGAAGGTTCAGAAGTAATGGGGAAAGTTGTATCTGAGCTGACAAAACCGGGGATTGGTCGGGAGGCCGGGGAAAAGAGAGCCCCGCATAACCGGGGTGTCTCCGCTTTAAAATTCAAGCAAGTCTGTAGAAAGGCGCGTTATTTGTCGGGGTTTTTTTTTTATTGGCGCAAAGCGCGTTTCGTTAACTCCTTCCCGTTGTCCCCACATCTTTTCCTCCCACGTTTGGGGGCCTGGGAGCGGTAACAAGGCTTCTGTAACCGGGATACTCAATAATATAAATAACAACAACAACAACAACAACAACAACACCTTGAACTGGTGGTCTCTTTTCAACACTATGATTCCTCTTATTTTTCGTGAATTGGAGGTTGGACTGGATGGTTCTTTGCTCTCTCCCAACTCCACAGTTCTAATAATAATAATAATAATAATAATAATAATAATAATAATAAGAAGAAGAAGAAGAAGAAGAAGAAGAAGAAGAAGAAGAAGCTGACACAAGCCAGTCACGGTGGCCCCAGTGGGGATCGGCACACTGGGTGCAGTACCTAAAGACCTTGGCCTGCACTTGGGAAGTGTCCAACAGGCAGCAGAGTGATCTTGTCTGCTGTGGACTCTTCTTGTTGTGTTTATGATAATAATAATAATAATAATAATAATAATAATCCAATACAACAGGCAGCAGAGTGATCTTGTCTGCTGTGGACTCTTCTTGTTGTGTTTATAATAATAATAATAATAATAATAATAATAATAATAATAATAATAATAATAATAATAATAATCCAATACAACAGGCAGCAGAGTGATCTTGTCTGCTGTGGACTCATCTTGTTGTGTTTCCAATAATAATAATAATAATAARAARAARAARAACAACAACAACAACAACAACCACAATCAAATTCTGGCACAAGCCAGTCAAGGTGGCCCCAGTGGTGATCGGCACACTGGGTGGAGTACCTAAAGACCTTGGCCTGCGCTTGGGAAGTGTCCGCTGTGTGATCCAATACAACAGGCAGCAGAGTGATCTTGTCTGCTGTGGACTCATCTTGTTGTGTTTCTAATAACAACAACAACAACAATCAGACTCTGGCACAAACCAGTCAAGGTGGCC